AAGAAGAAGAAGAAGAAGAAGAAGAAGAAGAAGAAGAAGAAGAACAACAACAAGAAGAAGAACAAGAAGAAGAAGAAGAAGAAAAAGAAGAAGAACAACAAGAACAAGAACAAGAACAAGAACAAGAACAAGAACAAGAACAAGAAGAAGAAGAAGAAGAACAAAAAGAAAAAGAAGAAGAGGAAGAACACGAAGAAGAAGAAAAGAAAAAGAACAACAACAACAAGCAACAGCAACAATATAAACCGATAACAACAAAAACAAAGCCATAACACCAACAACAACAACAACAAAAACAACAACAGTCACAACAACAACAACAACAACAACAACACAGCCACACACCAGCCCAGCACATCACCTGACAGTGGTGGTGAGCCCGGGAGACTGCATCGGCACCACACTCCCTCCCCTCACGTGTACGTTGATGACATCATACTGCGCCGGCAGACGCACCACCTGACCCGAACGTGGGACACGACGGCCCGAGTAAAAGTCGAACCACACATCACGAGGGAAGTAGGCCAACACTGATGTTTGCTTCTGTGAAGGGGGAGGGGGGGGGGAAAAAATAACATATCTGCTACACCACTAAATGAGCAATAATATAATAGAAGTTTTCCTATAAATCCTCACGGAAAATGGTCGCTTTTATGGACAAGCGGGCTATCCCGAAAAATGCTGTTTTGAGAAAATCGAAATTAAAGTTTTTGGATTCTTATTCAGTCTCTTTAAAAGACAAGGAGAGTTTTCTCTATAACCAAACAAATATACACACCTATGAAACCAAACTTCTCCTATAGGTAGGGCAATGCCCACTTTTGGTGTAGGTCAAGATTTCTGGAAACCCCCACTTGTCCTTAAAAGCAACCAAATAAGAGTTTTTCCCAAAAATTCTTCTAAAGAATAGGTTTTCCCCGAAATAGTTCTAAAGAATAGCTTTACCAAATATCCTTTTGAAGGACAGGAATTTTTCCAAAAATCATTCTATAATTATAAGATTTTCACCCAAATTCTACTGAAGAAATGAAATACTGTAACAAAAAGACCTTTAACTTTTAAAAAATGGTATGAGCTCAAAGTCTACAAATTCGACCCTTCTGTTGATTTTTGGCCGACATATCCATTCACGGAATGCAAGCAGTAACTGATTGTGTCAACACACCCAAATATCTATAAATAGCTTGTCAAACTCACAGGCTCCAAGATAGGAGAGAACAAGAGAGCAGGCCCCCACATGAACTGTCTGTCTATGTCCTGTGTCCTTGAGTCATCAGGGTACCTGTCGTTGTTGGTGCCGGGGGGGGGGGGGGGGGTGGGGTATATTATGCAGAATCAAAGAGAGAGAAAGAGAGAAGGTGAGAGAGAGAGAGAGGTGGGGGTACTCGTTGCCATAGAAATCACCTAGTAAGAAAAGAAAGGCCTAGCCATGTCTTCATATAAATGAAGATGAGTGAAGAGCAGCAGTGTGTAAAATTATGATGTGATGAGATGAGATGAGATGAAATCAGTTGCAATGTTTCTGTGGATAAATTTTTGTTCTTGAGGAAAATTTTTTGTGGATGTACGAGAATGGTTTAAAAACATATTTATATGTAGAATTAAAATTTTATATTACTTTCCTATAAGAAAGAAGACAGAGAGAGGGGGGAGGAAGGGAGTTCGAGAGGGGGAGAAAAAGAGAGAGAGAGAGAGAGAGAGAGAGAAAGAGAGAGAGAGAGAGAGAAAGAGAGAGAGAGAGAGAGAGAGAGAGAGAGAGAGAAAGAGAGAGAGAGAGCCACTCATTACCACAGCAACCACTCACTGGAAGAAGAGAGGCCTGGCCACCGGGTCCCCGTACACATGGCTGTAGAACAACAGCGTGTAGAGGTACGGCAGCAGCGTGTAGCGGGTCAGGAGAGCCTTACGGGTCGAAGCGGCCGACGCTGGCCCAAACTGACCGGGGTCTTGGGGCTGCCGGGGAGGGAGTGGGGGCGGGGGGATGTGGGGCAATTAGATGCTGCAACATGGCAGTACAAGATGAGTGGCATTGTGGTGAATTCAGACGTTCGTCAAAATAGTGAAATCAAAGAAACCAAAATTTGTTTTGCTCGTTGGGTAATTTTGATCAATGTTTTTTTCTTTTTTTTTCTTGATTTGGCTCATTACTTTATGTCCATTTAAAACCACAAAAGTGGCACATTGTGGTGAAATCAGGCGTTTGTCAAAATAGTGAAATCAAAGATTCTGACATTTTTCCGCCAGTTTGACAATTTTTTTTGAATTTTTGCTTTTTGACTAAAAATCTTATTTATATGCCCATTTAAAAACACATTTCTGTGTGGATTACACTGAAAAACGATTTAAGGCACACAAAAAAATGTAGATTTTCAGTTTCAAAAGACTCTCAAGCTAAGGAAGTCACCAACTTTGGCAGACATTTTTTCATTAATTTTACAACTGCGCGCTCATATGACCTTATGCAGTTGCAAGCGCCGTAAAAGCTCTTGACAAAAAAAAAAATTTCCACAACTGACACCAAGTGACACCATCTCCTTCAATCACAAATATCACTATATCCACTTCTATTCAATATAGACGGGTATTTTTTTCATTTAAAGCTAGACAAATGAACAAGCTTTAAGATGATACCAATAACCCCATAAGCCCCAAAACTGACGGGCACCTGTTTCCACCATGTCGTGACACATTTCCTGTTTATCCTGTTTCCACTGAGTGGTGACCCATATACAGTCAAACCTGCTCCGACGGCCACCTCTATTAGACGGCTACCTGTACAAACGACCACTTTCCATTTCCCCCCTTGCGCTTTTTTCTATATAATTTAACTGTGTAAAACGGACACCTGTCCAACCTTGCACAGAAATAACAACAACAACAATGTGGCTACCTTCGGTTGAGACCTCAGAAAGGAATTGTTTGTTTTCTTTATCTTGATCAGTCCTGCCTATAACAGCCACCTGTCTTATACGGCCACTTTTTTCCTTGACAATGGAGGGTCGTCTTACACAGGTTCGACTGTACATACCCGGCAGGTGTCAGAGTTGTGGTTCCGTGAGAAGACGTAGAAAGCTCCCAGCTGGTGCCACCGTGTGCACAGCTCCTCCGTCGCGTTGAGGAAAAACCCGCAAATGTCCGAGCCCGTGAAGGGAACGCCAAACAGGTTCATCTGCAGCATGGCTGGGGAGAGATATCTTGTTTTAGATTTAGTATGAGTTTTACGGCACTTGCAACACAATAAGGCCATAAGTGTTGAAGATAAGGTGTTACAACTGAGAAACAAACACAAAAAGAAGGATGGGAGATAAGGATGATAGATGTTTAATAGGAAAGAAGGAGGAAGCCACACCAGAGCACCCACCAACCAACCACAGAGACTTCTTATTACAGGGTGGGGAGAGATAAAATCATCATAAAGCTATCAAAAAGTACGTAGCCCAAAAAGCAAAATTTTACCTGAGAGAGAAAAAACTGTTTCATTCTCTTACAACTTAGGAAGGGCCACCCTTTACGCCTAACTGTAGTACAAAAATGACTGTAGCTTACCAATCCATCCCCCCCCCCCCTTACACAACACACACAGCAACCACCAGAACCACCAACCACCAAAACTATCTACCACCAGAACCACCAACCACCAAAACTATCTACCACCAGAACCACCAACCACCAAAACTATCTACCACCAGAACCACCAACCACCAAAACTATCTACCACCAGAACCACCAACCACCAAAACTATCTACCACCAGAACCACCAACCACCAAAACTATCTACCACCAGAACCACCAACCACCAAAACTATCTACCACCAGAACCACCAACCTGGTATGGACATGTGCATGTCGTGCCAGGTGCCCGAGTTGTCCCCGGACCAGTGACCGCTGACCTGGCCTTGACCCACAAAGGAGGATCGAGAGATGACCAGCGTCCGTTTCCCTCGGATGGACAACATGGCGCTGGGAACACATGATGAAAGAAACTCATTAAATAAAGATACACTGGAGAATAATAATAATGATAATAACAATAACAATCATCTTAATCATAATCATAATAATAATAATAATAGTATGATATAATAAAAGCAATAATAATGATAAATAATTATAATGATGACAACAAAGATAGTAATAATAATAATAATAATAATAATAATAATAATAATAGTTCGTTTGACAATGTCTGACAATGACCAATACATTTGCAGAGGAGAATATTTCTTATAGAGAAAAAGAAGAAATAAGGATCAAAATGATTAGTGGCTTCTGCTATGGGCACTGAAGCCAATCCTGGGATATTCGCGACAGTTGTCAGGCCTGCACTCACTGGTAGGTGGCGTTGGCCTCGAGCAGGCCGTACAGGCTGTGCACGTTGTAGTGGGAGGAGGCTGCGTGCCGGCCGTGGTGACAGATGGAGTGCTTGTACAGCTCTCTGTCCGCGATGCCTGGAGAAATTCACAACAGAAAACATGTTTTGTCAATTCAGCTGTTCAGATGTATTGAACCCACAATTTTGGAAATTGTTTCTTCTATTGCAGTTTTTAACTCTATACATAAGGACTGATGTTCACAGTGCTAGTCAGTAATTCCACTACCCCAGGAAAAAAAATACTGACTGTCAGCGTTCTTTGGTATTTCTCAATTGTCAATATCTCTTAAATCATTTCTTCCTGACCTTTTACTCTACAAATGAAAGTCATAAAATTAATTTATGAATCTTATATTTTCAACTTCAGCAAGTAGTTACTTTTAATTTGATGTATGACATGACTACATTTCTATACATCTCAGGACTGGAACAGTGGCTTACATAGGCTATATTATTGAGTAACAGTTTAATCCCCAAAAGATTCCAGGAAAATATGCTCAAAATCAAGAGTTCAAAGCATGGAACCAGTCACCAACACCCTCAAAACACCCACAACACTGTAGGGCAAGCATCTGTTCAAGAAATATGTTGAGTGAATTTAAATTCTAAACGTTGGAAGAAAAAAAACAAGAAAAAATGTACGAACAACTGTTAAAAGAACAAAACAGTTTTGATCTCTCTTGTGAAAAAAGTAGCTTTCTGAGCCTAGAACAGTCGAACAGCTGGCCAATGAAATATTTCATCCTTCCAAAGACAATTTAGGTCATTAAGGAGGAGGGCCAACACACCTTAGACTCCATGCTCTCCCTGGCCGCGACAAGGAAAGTCTAGCATATCTCCTGACCACCCACCTGGTATATACGGAGGTATGTCTAACGGATTCTTCACATCACAGGCACAGAGTGAACCATCCACCCACCTGGTATATATGGAGGTATAACATCTAACGGATTCCTCTCATCACAGACACAGTGAACCATCCATCCACCCACCTGGTATATATGGAGGTATAACATCTAACGGATTCTTTTTATCACCAACACAGTGAACCATCCATCCACCCACCTGGTATATATGGAGGTATAACATATAACGGATTCTTTTTATCACGGACACAGTGAACCATCCACCCACCTGGTATATACGGAGGTACGTCTAACGGATTCTTCTCATCACAGCCATGTACAGAACCATCCGCAAAGCTGGAAATTTCATTCATATCCTGGGGGGAAGGAGGATTGAGATGTGGGTAGGGAAGGGAGAGAGCGGGATGGAGTGGGGGTGGGTGTCAGAGGGAGGGGGTATGGGATGGGGGGACTATCAACTCAACTCACTGAGACTATACTGGTCAAATTAACGTAGATAAAAGTTTGGCCATTTCTGAACTAATCTCTTCCATTAGATTATGCAGAAGCTGAAAAAAACATTTGATTTAAATCTTTTATAAGCCTATCCTGTATAAAACAATTACAATCTGCATGTTCTGTTGCGGCAAAACAAAACTACTTTACCTCAAACATTTCACATCCTGACAGAACAATGATGCGCTGTGTTAGTTTTCCTTCTTTCTCTAACCCTACTAGAGCTCAGAGAGTACCTGACTGCCAGATCTTCATCACAAAAAGTAGTTACATTCTCTCTCTCTCTCTCTCTCTCTCTCTCTCTCTCTCTCTCTCTCTCTCTCTCTCTCTCTATCTCTCTCTCTATCTCTCTCTCTCTCTCAAACACACACACACACACACCCACACACACATACACAGACGCACACACACACACACACACAATACACATAAATATTCATTACAACAACAATGTATCAAACAGCTGTAAACATCTCCACCCAAGGACACCCACTCACCACCCAGGCTCCGTCAAAAGCGACTTTTTTGTGGAAGTCCCCGGCTATTTTCCTCCAGTACCGTCCACTCTGACCGTTAGTGAAGTCCGGCCATACTGTGGTGCCAGGCCATACCTAGGGAGAGAGCACGACAGACGTAGAGTTGTTGGTTATTGTAGAGAACGACAGACGACAAACGTAGAGTTGTCGGTTATTGTAGAGAACGACAGACGTAGAGTTGTTGGTTACTGTAGAGAACGACAGACGTAAAGTTGTTGGTCATTGTAGAGAACGACAGATGTAAAGTTATTGGTTATTGTAGAGAACGACAGACGACAGACGTAGAGTTGTTGGTCACTTTGGAGAACGACAGACGTAGAGTTGTTGGTCATTGTGGAGAACGACAGACGTAGATTTGTTGGTTATTGTAGAGATCGACAGAAGTAGAGTTGTTGGTTATTGTAGAGAACGACAGACGACAGACGTAGAGTTGTTGGTTATTGTAGAGAATGACAGACGACAGACGTAGAGTTGTTGGTTATTGTAGAGAACGACAGACAACAGACGAAGAGCTACCGGCAACAGTACAGTAAGTCAGCACGGTTAACTGTACCTGGAAGGGTATATTAAGTCTCCACCCAACTTTACTTAAAATGGCAACTCTATGAGGCATCATGGTAAAATCGGGCGCTCGTTAAAATAAAGAAATCGAAGAAATGCATTTTTGTTTCGCCAGATTGTCAATTTTTATCTATTTTTTTGTTTTTTAGCCCAACACATTTTATATCCATGTAACACCACATTTCCATGTGAATTTTACTGAAAAACATTGATTAAAAGCACAAACCCAACCACATTCAAACACGTACATTCACACATACAGACACACACAGACACACACACACACACAAACACACCTACACACACACTTAGACCCACACATACACCCACACACACAGACACACACAAAGCCACTGACCCTGCCCACTAGCGGCTGTCCATCCAAGTCTTTGATAAATAGGTCCATCTGTCTGCCTGGGTTGTCCCCCTACATCTCCTCACTTCCCCAACCGTCTCCTCTCCCACTCACCCCACACACAGACACACAGACATTCTCTCACACACACACACACACACACACACACACCTACACACACACATACACCTACACACACAGACACACACAAAGCCACTGACCCTGCCCACTAGTGGCTGTCCATCCAAGTCTTTGATAAATATCTCCATCTGTCTGCCCAGGTCATACGGCTGGTATGTGCCTGGAGTGGCATTGTTGCTGATCCCACAGTCCTTGGGGTGGGGGTTGTTGTTGAGGGTTGAGGGGATGAGGGAGATAAGGATGAAGGCAAGGGAAAAAAAGGAATAAATATGAAAAAATAAAATTCATTAAACTGCATATTTCAGAATATGCATGCTGTTCTTAGTCTTTTTATGTGTCAGAAAAAGGAGACAGAAATAAAAATGTCCCAAAGCGGTGTCTTCAAGTAGTGTGGAAGGACCAAAAAAGATGCCCTCAATGAAGAAAAGTAAAGGAGGTTTATGAGCTCATTGTGCTAAGACAGCCTGCAACATCTTAAGTCTCAACCTGGCCATTTCAATCCCTTGAAACTCACAATATAATACCAGAAGGAGGTATAGAGACCTGATCATTTCATAGGAGTCATTTTCTTCTTGGACCCCTGTACAGCATACCAAAATCAAAGTTAGCAGTCTTTGCACTGCCATGATCTGACAAAACGCATTTTTTCATTTTGGCGGGAAATTTTTTTATTCCACTAATGAATTCTACATGTCGAAAGCTAACTTGAGATATAATTATGCAACCCTAACTGCGACTAGTTTTTAAATAAATTAGCTTTTTAGATTTGTTAAAACGCATTTATTTCCAATGTGATCTGATAAAACGCATTTTTTTCAAAGATGATCTGACAAAACGCATTTTTTTCGTGCATATCGACCCTGTGATCTGATAAAACGCATTTTTTTCTTCCCGGGAAGGACAAAAAATGCGTTTCATCAGATCACAGTCGACGTATGGTCGATATCCAGATAAAAAAACTCACTGCTGGCATCTGTTTGACACGTGGAATGTTTACATGCTTCGCTGAGGTGACCTTTTTGTCCCAATTTACAAAGTCTGAATAGTTCATTTGTAATACTTTTGGGCCCCCACCAGCGATCTGCACTGTCGCCACAAAATCGGTAAAACCGAAAATATTTCCCTTCCTTCTCATATTCTTCTTCTTCTCAACCTCACCATGAAACGAGTGACAGGACATGAATGTATGACCCGTTACAAGGTACTTCAAAGTGACCCTGTGGAGAAAAGGTTTGCTGCTGTCATTCAACAGCCTTGCCAGGAACGTGAACAAATACCATTTTTTATTTGGCCTGAACAATTATCACCCCAAATAATGATGTCCTTTGCATCCTCAGCCATGTCACAAATTGCTTTAACAAAAGCTGAAGTAACGCCGGAGGCAGACCTTCTGGACGTTGCCTCATGCCAGAGGACAGATCTGACTTGCTTTGAGCTTTTCTTTTTCGCCTGCTGTCCTAAGGGTGCGAACGTCTCATGGAAAGCTACAAGGCAGTTTCGGAAGACGCAGCTTTTGACGCCCCGCATGAAAGGCAACAAAACGATCTTTTGCATGTCCGCTGATACAATGATCTCGGACCCTACTTCAGGGCCTTTCTCTCTATTTTTGTCTTAGTGTTTACGGTTTGATGCAACCCGCCTCTTGTGGGATGTGTACAGTTGACACGTCTCAAGTCTGTGTCCAGTGCCGGCGGCTGGAGTTCATGGTGTGAAAAAGTCAGACATATCTCACACAACTCGTTTCCAAGATCGGCGAATCTAATATTCTTTAGCTGCACTCGCCTACCGTAGGATTGGTACCCTACCTTTAGAGAGCGATACGTCTCTGTGAAATAGGAGTGCATTTCTCGAATGGTTATGTCCGATGACAAATACCACCTATTAGGTGCATATTCTCGCTTGAAGTGGCTCACTGAAGGGTGGAACTCTTCAATGTGTGAGTCTATTGCGCAATAAAGTCTTCCCTCAAGGCGTGGGAAGGTGTTTTTGCACCCCTTTTGTCTATAGGGGCAAACAAGTCACTTGCAGAAGCACCTGAGATTTTTAAACCGTTGAATACGGAATTGGATGTATCCGAGGGTGTGCAGAAAAAAAAACACAGAGCAGACGACGACCTGTTTACCGCAGTCTTTTGAGAGGGTACACGAGAATTTGGAAAAGTCACTTTTAGTCTTCGAGCGGTGTTGAAAAATCCAATTTCGGCGATCATTATAGGGTTGACTCCAAAACTCCTCATGAATTACTTGACGTCTTGGTGGAGGGATTTTCACGATGTAGTTCATTCTACAGTTGCATGGAGGAAGAATGGTGTGCTTTTCCTTAAGAGTAAAATGTGGTACTTCTCGTCTTTCAGATGCAACGGGTGTTATCGTGGGTGATGGAGACAAAGCGGTTTGGTACAGCTGATCTGAGGACGAGGGGGTTGAGTCTGATACAGCTAATCTGAGGTAGATGAGGTTTCCTCAAGTTGACCTGGTGATAAAGAGATTATGTACTGAGATGGCGACAATGGCAGAAAGTTTGTTGGGCTTGCTGATATGGGTTGCACTGGTGATGCAACAGACTGACTTTCCCCAGAGACACAGAATGGTGGCCCGCCTGCATTTTGGGTAAGAGACAATTTGAGAAATGAAAAGTTGTATTCTCGAGAATAACTTTTCTTTCTTCAAATGATTGTTGCGAAGGCGGCATCGGTGACAAAGGAGATGGAACATTGTCAAATTCAGACAGGAGATCAGACAAAGACCTGCGCTCTCCCAACATCGGCGTTGAAGTTGGTTCATGCTGAGTCAAGGGACAATGGACTGGTGTTGATGTTGCAAATGGCAACATCAGCGAACTCTCTGTTTTCGCTCCAGTCAGCGAATGGATTTGACACACCTGAACTCTCTGACAGATGCTCACTTTCACCAGAATCATCGTCGCCAAAATGAAGGCGTCGACGTGCACTCTTTACAGGGGTAGGAACATGGGGATCTGATGGACCAGTGATCACCTCAGCACCAGAGAAAGCTGGAACCTCTATAGCGGAGGCTGCTGAGGCTGCTGATCTTTGGATTTCTTGCAAACGCCGATGTTTTATCAAGGGTGGTTCATAACTTTCGAAAGAGCTGTGATCGTCTTTATGCTGTTGGACGATTTTCCTGAAAGGCACGAGTTTAAAAACGAATAAGTAGTGGAGGTGTCCTTGTGATTTGGCTGAATAGTCCATTTAATATTAACAACAGTCTCACATCTAGACGAATATTTTAGGAACTCGTCAACTGTGGTGCAAGTGTCAAAAATTAACTAAAAAGACATGTCACTTATTTGCCTTCTTCACAAGCATTACCTCTACAGTCACTCCAGACCATTAAAATGTTCCCGACTCAAGACTGGTAAAACAGGAGCCACGACAACTTAATCAAAGCTCCCTCAAATGCAATGAAAATAACATGATTGCAACTTACCTTTTCATAAGCTCTTTGAACAGTTGTTGTGCATTCATGTTGAAGGAGTCACCACATGTTTTCTCAATAATCTGGTGGTCAAGAAACGAATTCCATATGCATATAAATCCCCGAAGGGAATATTCACTCACCAGAATTAATAGCTGGATAAAAGTGACCGAATCTTTCGTTACCATTACCAGTGTGAGCAGTATCAATAAATTACTGCCCAACATCTCAAGTGTCAAAAAAGACTAAGATGAAACAACAACAAGAGGACGATGCTCGTGAGGTAGCCGGGAGTTGTGCCGTTTTATTAAGTTATATTATCTGGTCAGCCACGGTACCGAATACTGACCCTACAGAGCAGACTCCTCTCAAACTCCTCCTCCTCCTCCTCCTCCTCCTCCTCCTCCTTCTTCTTTTTCTTCTTCTTCTTCTTCTTCTTCTTCTTCTTCTTCTTCTTCTTCTTCTTCTTCAGTAAAAGCTTTTGTATGTACATTGTAGAACAGAATCTGAACAAGAAATTTTAATACCCTTTTTGCAGCCGTAGAAAATACGTTTAACCAGCAGTGAATTTGGAAGCAAAACACACGACTTCTCTAGTGATGATCTGACAAAACACATTTAAATGACACATGGGGTGTGGTTATGAACATTTAAATGACACATGGGGTGTGGTTATGAACATTTAAATGCGTTTTACCAGATCACAGTTAACGGGACGCAGAAAATAAATGCGTTTTGTCAGATCATTCTGGGATTAATGCGTTGAAAATAAAACGCATTTCTACAGGGAAGATCTGATAAAACGCATTCTTCTTGTTTGTTTGTTTGTCTTTAGCTCAAATTCAATCAAGTTTGGTACAGTCATGGTAAATGATATATATGTTTATGTGGGATAGTCAAACAAAAACAACATTGATATTTGTTTGTTTAATTAGCAAAAAACACTCAATCGCGATTATCTCGAAACCTTGATTTTGAGAAAAATGCGTTTTGTCAGATCACGGCAGTGCAGATCTCAAATGGCTTATCTGTATAAACTGTTTCCAGACTTGCAAACTGTAAGTTTTATGAAACTCAATTAGGGACACCTAACATTTTTTCTCAGATTACGTACTAAGAAACAAAAGTATATCAAGTGGGACTAATGTTACTACTATAGTGCATCTGATAGGTTTTCAAATTCCCCATTGCTTAGTCTGTGACAGGCCCCCAGAGATTCAGGACAGTCGGCAAGCCTGCTGCTTCTGAGCAAGCTCTATTTTGGAGCATCTTTTATTATTTAGGGCAGTGCTTGCACAGCTGGGCGATATCACCTCCCCTTCCCCCCCCCTCCTTTTAGTGGGCAATTTGGCAAGTTTGGAGGGCAGTGTTGGTCACCCGGGCACCGACAGGTATTATCTAATGTTCCTCTTTCTAATACAGACGGTGGTGTGAAAACTTTAGCCTCTTGAAGGTGGCAAACGTGGGTGCTGGCTATGAATAGGGTTGCCAAGCATTGTTTTAGGACTTAAGCATCCAGAGGCCTTGCATAGGAGTGCTTTTAGAGCATGTACGTAAGTACATTTACTACCCTTAGTCATGGGACAACATACGATCATGAAATTTCCCTTGTTGTACTAAAATTCTCTGAGTATCAGGAATGTTTCTTTTAAAGTGGTTTATTCTTTTTTTTATGGCACTTGCAGGACAATTAGGTCATATAAGTGCCAAAGATAAGAAATGACATTAGAGAGTAACAAACTCAAAAGGAGGAGTGATAAGGACGATAGATGATTGATAAGAAAGAAGAAGCAAACCACACCACTCCACTTGCCAACCACTCACAAACTTTTTTTTTTTTCGGTGCGCAACAGCAAAAAGTAAAACCTTATCCACCATACCACAGACGTCTGTTTGTCTGTCTGTCTGTCTGTCTGTCTGTCCATCAGTGTGTATGAGTGTGTGTGTGTTCTAACTCACCACCATGATGATGTAGTGCATGCCACGACTGTGTATCTCCCCAGCCAGCCCCACCTGATTGCCAAACTTCTCTGTGTCCGTGGTAAACACGCGCGCACCTTTAGCGTAATCGATGTCATTCCACTGCACGTCCTGTCACAGGGAACACAATTCTTCCTCATGAAACTTAAAATATGTCATCATGATATGCTGGATTTAGCCACTCATGAAAATAGTGAAATCAAAGAAACAGACACTTTTCAGCTCATTGGACAATTTTTATCGATTTTTAAAAAGAATTTGTCTATTTAAAAACATTTCTACATGGATTTTACAACAGAAAAACGTTGATCAAAAGCACATAAGATATATATAAGCAGTTTTCAAGGACAATCAATCTTCAATTCGACAGACGCACGTATATCAGGGATGCCAAATGATTTTTTAACAAAAAACTGAAAATGAGCTGAGCATCACATCTCACCTAAACCGAACCATGTAAAACTTTTAAATGAGCAAACAAAAACATATACTCTCTTACCTCTCCCCTTTCCTTTGCAATTCCAACGGATGAAAAAAAAATGGAAAAAAAACCCAGAAAAACCGGACATTTGGCATCCCTGATATATTTATTGACCAACAATGCATCACAGTACACAGCGAGTCATTTTCCTCGGTGCAAAAGTTCCAGCTACCACTTACCTGTGGGATGCCGAACTTGCGTAGTCGGTCCATGGTAGCACGCGTGTTGTTTGCCGTGCCGTAGCGCTGCCAACACAGGTGGAAGCCAAGGGCCCAGTACGGCGGCATGAACGGGCGACCTACAACCTCCGTGTACTGCCGGGTCACTGCCCATATCTCGGGACCCGAGAAGAGATAGATGTCGAAGATTCCGCCGATCGTGCGCCACGTGAGAGCTGGGGCAGGCTGGACAATCACGTCTGACGACAAGAAAAAACAAACAGCAATAGTTCGGTGAAGTAAAGAAAACATATTTGTGTCATTATGGTGAAATCAGGCGCTTTGTGTCCAAATAATGAAATCAAAGAAACCGACCATTTTTCCACCCATGGCCAATTTTCATCAATTTTTGGGGGGGGGGTGGGCGGGGGGGGGGGGGGGGGAGCTCATCAGTTTTTAAGATGATACCGATAACTCCATAATATTCCAAAAATTTGACGAGCGCTAGGTTCCATCATGTAGTGACATATATTTTACATCAGACACAATTACATCCATTGAATGTCGGGACAAAGCAAGACAGGCAGACAGAGAGACAGACAGACAGACATAAAAGAAGCAGAATCTACCAAGGGTGCCTCCAACCATCCGCCAAGCTCTAATAGACGCGAAAAGTATTGGCTGGTGATTATGAATAAATCATAATGGTAATACCAAAACTGACAGGTATAACTAGCTAAAGCCTATGCTCTCAGAAAGATTAATAATAATAGTAATAATAACAGATAGCATCAATTTGTAAAGCGTAAATTCCCACTCAGCAGCAAGCTTTTAGGCAAATCCAAACAGGGTTCTTCAATGGGCAAAAAAATTTTGTTTTAAATCCCACAGCTCGGATTTTGTGGGAGTACATGGCAAGTGCGAGCACCGAGTGTGGATGGAGCAAGTGTGCACAGAGTGTGGACGGAGTGTGGATGGAGTGTGGATGGAGTGTGCATGGTGCACCGAGTGAGGACTGAGAGTGGATGGAATGTGTGTCGAGAGTGGATGGAGTGTGTACCTAGTGTGGATGGAGTGTGCACCGAGTGTGGATGGAGTGTGTACCGAGTGTGGATGGAGTGTGTACCGAGTGTAGATGGAGTGTGTACTTAGTGTGGATGGAGCGTGTGTCGAGTGTGGATGGAGTGTGTGTCGAATGTGGATGGAGTGTGTACCTAGTGTGGATGGAGTGTGTACCGAGTGTGGATGGAGTGTGTACCTAGTGTGGATGGAGCGTGTGTCGAGTGTGAATGGAGTGTGTACCTAGTGTGGATGGAGTGAGTGTCGAGTGTGAACAAAGTGTGCACTGAGTGAGAATGATGAACCGACTGTGAATGATGCACCCAGTGTGGATGGAGTGTGCGTCGAGTGTGGATGGAGTGTGCACTGAGCGTAGATGGACACATCTGTACTCACCCAAGGCGTTGCTGCTGAGAAACAAGACTCCATGCCAACCTCTGGCGTCTCTGGCAATGTAGAACGGGTGAGTGCCATACAGATTTGTGTTCTCCTGGAAACAAACAAAAACGAAAAAAAATCAAAAATCAAAAAAAAAAAAAAAAAACCTTTATAAAGAGAGTCCACTTTTTGTGATGAACTGGTCACAGCCACAATAGATGTCATGGATAAGTTGGAAATATTTAACTCCTCTCACTGATACAATTTAGATCATTTACGAGGGTGGCTGCTTCTATCCATCCTAGCAGATGATTGTACACACCTGATTGAATACACGTCTCACAGCGTCACTTTTCGCCTGATTCTGTTATTTTTAGTTCGCGTGACTCAGCAGCCTGTCGGAGCTCCCTGGCTCGGGGTCATGGGGTAAATGAGCCCTGAAGCGACTTTGCCAGTGTCGGTCAGGAAGTTCGCATTTTTGACTATGTTTAAAACGATATAACTTCTTCCCCATCCCACACAGCAAACCATTACGCGGATGTACTAAAAGCTCAATGTCTTGAGATTTATTCTGCGTTAGAATGGTTAGTTTCTGTGCCTTAGTTTTTGTTCTAGACAAGTGTTTGTAGAGTACCCAATTTGTCCTATTTCAGTTACAAACTTATGAATAAATGATTGTTAATTTAAAAAAGGCTTGACAGATCTCTCCAAAATCTGTGTTAAACTGACTACGAATATCATGTCTTTTACCATGAGAAATCTTAAATCAGCGCGAGTAGTTATAGTCAAGTTATAACAGAAGAAAGATGCACATCTGCATTTTTTAACTAAAGACGATCAGCGTTAGCTCTTATTTTACTATTAAACAAGAGAAAGTTACTCTGCGTTTGTTCATGAATCATGCTGTGTCTGTGGCAGCCTGCATGCAACTAAAAAGATATAATATAAGCGATTTAAAAAAACACAAAACCGTGTAAATACATGGGTAGAGATAAACTTCTTGTATGGAATAAAAATAAAGACAGCTAAAACATTCATTCTTAGTTTTTGTGTAGGAAATATGCGCGGACACAATTATGAATGTAAAGAAATCAGTCACATTGTCAGTTACTGCAAATGGTCATAGAAACCAAAAAAATAAAGTTGGAAAAGTCTGGTGTTGATTCAGTGTCCCTGGAAAGCTAGAAATTATTCTTATAACCCAATTACGAGAAGTCATCCCTATTATTCAGTCAACTTACAAAACCTAGACTTAGCGATTTAAGAAAAGTAAGGAATTTCTGGAGTGTAACAGATACTGTTCGTGTATTAGATCTACGTTGAAGATGCATTCTAGCACTAAAATCGATTTGTACTTTTCATAGAGAAACTTCATGGTAACTTTTATAAACTTTCGAGAAAATATGCGAATATTCACGATTATATTAGACACATAAAGTTGTATTTGGAGGAATTACTTCATAGCGAATTGTGTGCCCGATGGATAAAATTGTAAAATTACAGCCTTCTATTATATGCGCAGATACCATCTTTTCTGAGTATCTGCACCAATGTTATGTCGTTCATGTTCCAAAAGTTCGACAGATTTTGACGATTCCTTTTTTTTATATTGATTTGTTTTCATTCACGCTAGTCAAAAAAAAATTACATTTTAGCATTGCCGACTCCAGTGCGTCTAACGAAATAACCAGACAAGTTACAACGTCCGTTCTTTTTTGAGTCTCAAGAGCAGAAATGCGTGCTTTTGGTGCACTAAATGAGAATTACCATAAATACAAGGATACACCTAAAATTGTACGTTGAAAAATACGAAAAAATAGGTCGCCCAAGACAGAGCGGCGACAGGGAGCTGACCCCCGTGACCCCGACGTGATAAGGCGCCCGGCGGGGAACCCCCCGCGGCAACTAAAATTCCACTGCCGGTGCCCCGTGGTCTGACTTTGTACACACCTAATCGTATTATAAACCTCATGGCGCACACTCCTGAATGCACACATCCGATAGTGTACACACTTGATTGCATACACACCTAACTGCATACAAATATGCACCTGATTGATTGCATACACACCTAACTGAGTAGACATAGGCACCTGACTGATAGCATACACATCTAACTGTGTACATATAAGCACTTGATAGATTGCATACACACCTAACTGCTTACATATATGAACCTGATTGATTGCAAACACACTTAACATACGCACTCGACTGCTGACACAAACACACCTGATAGCGCACACCACTGATATGTACACACTTGATTGCATGCACACGCACCTAATTGCTTACACATACGCTGCTGATTGCGTGCACTCACAACTGATAGTACGCTTACACACCTGATAGCACTGCAAGATACACACACACTACACCGACCTTGGGGTGGTGATCCCTGTTCCAGAGAGCCACACGTGTCCAGTTGGCGCTGACCGCCAGGCCGCCCCGGCGCTCGCCCAGCCCGTAGAGCAACGATGAGGCCAGGGTGGTGGACAGCTGGAGCAGCTGGTCTGAGTAGATGAACCCGCCCGTGCTCTCTATCCTGGGGGGG